AATTGCAAGCTGTTTTTAACATTATTCAGACTCAGCTCTCTGAACTAAAGCTTCTTTTAAATGTTGATAAAACCAAGGTAATGCTCTTTTCTAAAGCTAAAAAGACACCAGAGCCTGTTGTAGATATTGTAACTACGCAAGGAATAAAACTTGAAGTGGTTACCTGTTACAAATACCTTGGTATCTGGCTTGATGATTGTCTCACTTTTAAACGTCATGTCAATAACCTGCTTAAAAAACTGAGGGTTAGGCTAGGTTTCTTCTACAGGAACAAGTCCTGTTTCTTGCTTGAGGCCAGGAAAAGGCTAGTCACTGTGACCTTTTTACCTGTGCTGGACTATGGTGATCTGATCTATATGAATGCACCTGCCAATTGCCTGGTCAAGTTAGATGCTGCGTATCACAGTGCACTGAGATTTGTGACAAACTGTAAAGCATTAACCCATCACTGTACCCTGTATGCAAGGGCTGGTTTGCCTTCACTAACTGTACGGAGGCTCAGTCACTGGTACATTTTTATATATAAAGCCATGTTAGGGAAACTATTAATCCCACCCTCAAGCATTTTGCAGGGTATGGTTCTAGGACTGGTACCAATAAATGGAGCAAGTTTCATGAATGTGAAACTTTTATTTTGTAAGATAGCAAGGGGGGGGCATATTGTGATGGCCAGGCCTGTAATAAAATCTTTTTGGTGTGAACGCGACATTTCAGAACTATATCGGAACTAAAGTGGGAAAAGTACTGCGGTGTGAACGCGGCTTATGTATCTCATACTGCCTGTGTTGCAGCACCTCTTTTCACCCTCTGTCTGAAAAGTGTTACATAGTGATGTCGCTTTGTTTAGTAAGTAAACAAAGCAGTCCAATGGAGGCGTTTCAGGCAGGGGGGGTGGAGGAGTGTGTCGGAGAGAAACTCCCTCTGGAGGGAACACAGGGATTTTCGCCCTTGCAGAACATTGACATGCTCAAACAACTATAGCACAGTAGGACCTCTTTACGAACCAATGGTTTGTGGTTTTTGCATTAGGCTTTTAAACCTTTTAGCAAAGGTAAAATGTCAACCATGATGGAACAACATACTTTATTAGCATTTAAGGCACACCTCATGATGATGTTTTAGCTTACGTATTCGTTTTTTTGCTCTTTTATGAACGATGAAGGCAAGTTTAACATTAAAATAGTTGAGTCTCACCTAGCCTGGGGGAGGTGATGGTGTTCACATTGATTTTCTCGTTGCAGGTGCCGTGGTGACAGGGTCGGTAGGTTGGTGGTCTCGACGTCACTGGGCAGTCGTTACCATGACTACCTGTTACTTTGTGCATACACTGGACCACTCGTGACTGCAGGCCCTTCCCACAGGACGACGAGCACTGAAACAACCAATCAGGTGTCAGATCTCACTGATGTCATCATTAAATTCCTTCTTTTTTGATTTATTATAATAATTCTAGTTGCATTGTTCATGATTAGACACAAAATATTATTAAAAAATATGATGGCCCTTATTCATAATCCATATATTGAACCCTGTGCAGTGTAGTGTAGTGAGGCTGCTGGAGCTGCTTCAGTGTGTGTGTTTGTGTGTGTGTGTGTGTGTGTGTGTGTGTGTGTGTGTGTGTGTTTGACACATTCAATGAATAAACTGAGGAAGGAAATGTCCTCCACAGTAAATCTCACTGTGATACCAGAGTGATGCAGGGCGCTCAAAACATCTCCTACCGAGAGAGTTTGTCTGTTTCCCCACAGACAGAGAAGTAATGAAAATAAGAGGATTCAACAGCAGTCTGAAGGACAGTGAAGGCCACACCATCAAAGACTGATGACACATTTGAATAAATTGACTCCAACTGCTATGAAGGTACCCTTGAGCAAGGCAATCTGCCCAGTAGATTGCCTTGCCTAAACTGTTGTAGCTTGCCGATATAGAAAATATTTTCATGGGAAGATTATATTCTACCTTAATAAATGAAGCATGTTCATGGTGTTTCCCCTAGAGGGCGGGATTTCCCATATTGTTGGTGAGTGAATGCTTGGAGGTATTTCAGTATGTCAGCATAAAGCAGGGAGTCTGGAGGTAGTCGTACCTTGGACCAGTCTCCAGTCTTCCACTCGTAACATTTGGAGTGGTCCTCACAGGGCTCCTCATGGGGGGGCTGGGACTGAGGGTCACAGACCCTCTGAGGGTTTGTGCAGGCCACTGTGCGACTGTGAACGCCTCGCCCACAGTCTGAGGAACACTACAGGAGAACATGTAGAAAGAGAGGACACAGTATGTCAGGGAAGAAGCAACAAGACTGTCTAATATGGTCTATTCTTCATAAGGCAGCCACACCTTGGCTGACCTAAACATACATACTTTAAAATTGTTTTTAGACTTTTACAGATTCTGATGTTTTTATTAACAACATGTGCAATATGGAACAAATGCTTCTTGATCTTAGTTTGGCAGCATGCTAACACATTTATACAACTGTGCTACTTTGAAAACGGGACTGCATAGCCAAAAAGGAACAGTTCTTCACGCTATGCCTATACCTTGTTTTAAATGTAACGATAAAAGGGACATCAAACATTCCTCAGCCAATACACATCTCCTACTTCTAAACATGACTTACGTGTTCAAAATGCACCAAAGCATTTAAGGCTCAGTTTAACGTCAAATCTATTTCACAAACATTCCCAGACTGAAGGGGTTTTTACCAAAAATAATGGCAGTTTACAGAGTATCTGCTCATTATCTCTGTCTCTGAACTCCAAATGGCCTTTTCAAGATTCAAACACACCTAAATGAAAAAGACCAGTCAGAGCTCAGATTTCTCTGCTTGTGAACGCTCAGCAAACTATCAACATGGAACACGATTCTTCTCCTCAGGGGCCTCATGTATAACGCCGTGCGTAGGATTCACGTGGGAAGGTTGCTTACGTAGTAGAAATCCGAAAAATAGGTCCATACATTT